CGACGATCCATACTAGCGAGCTCTGGGGTGATGCGGGAGCTTGGCCCGATTCTAAGCGCTCTGTACCGGTCAGGGGCATTTCGCGACCAGTATTCCGACGCAGAGGCCTCGCAGCGAAGAATGACAATTCTCCTTGCTCTGGCAATGGAAGGGGCCAGGTTGGGGGCGGTTATAGTACAGGCCGCTTTGGCGAGAGCATCTGCCTTTTCATTTCCAGGTATTCCTGAATGCGCTGGGCACCAGCGTACAGAGACCCTTCCTGGCTCAGTGTATCTGGCACGGTTCCTTGAAGGTCAGGATCTTGCGAGATCCCGAAATTTTGCGATCCGAGTCGAGCTGGATGGGGTCGGCGGTCCAAGGAGTAAGCGAGACGCTGCCTCTTGGTTGTCGAGACAGACAGTGATATTGGTGGCGTAGTATGCCATTGGGTTTCTAATTGCAGCTGCGAGGCCTTCCATGGCCCCGACGACTTCTGCATCATATACTTCTGCTGATTGACCCAGAGGAACAGAGCCTTGATCGATCACATGTTTTGCGCCGCGATAAATGCAGTACCCTGCCCCTGCTGAGCCTTCCATCAGAGCTCCGTCTGAGAAAACGAAGAGGTCCAGGGGCGGTGCTGAGGAATGCCATTGGGTGAAGACTTGGAGCCCTGCTCCACGACCAACTGCTCCAATTGCTGCGAGTCTTTCGTCTCTTTTTGGTGTCCAGGAAGGTGAAGTCGTGTTCAATGATAGTTCTGGGGAAACCCTGCGCCGAATCCAAGCCATTCTCGGAGATTTCCAGCGCAGTCGCAAGGGATGTTGGGGACCTGACGAGGCAACTCGCACTGCAAGCCGGTTGTGGATACGTTCGAGCCACCCCTGAGCTGATGACCATCCAGTTTCCCGCAGAAGGGCGGCCACTGGAGTGGTTTTGTATACTAGCAGTGCTGCACGGGCTGCATCGTTTATCTTGCGTTGAATACGGGCAATATCTTTGCAGGTATTTGCTGAGAACCAGGTTTCGGCTCCGTAGAAAAGGGTTGTAAACGCTGCCCCTTGTAAAGCCTGTCTGGCTAGAGCTGTTCGGATACCTCGAGCGGTATTGCAGAGGCTTTTTATGTGCGCTGTGACGGCCGTAACTCTACCGCAAGCTTGCTTAATATGGTGGCGAAATTTCAAGCGGCGATCAAAGTGGACTCCCAGCCAACGAGTTTGGTCGTTAGGCCTGATCTCTACGCTGTCTACCCGGAGGCTTGGCTCAAAGGGTTTCCCCTTTTTCCGGTGGAAATATTGGAGCTCAGTCTTTGTTATCTCTAGCTCGATTCCGTTAATACTTTCCCAAGTAAGTACGTTGTCCAGCTTTTCTTGGAGGCGAGCTGCGCATTCAGGTAGAGATGGTGCGGAAGCAAAAATTGCCGCATCGTCAGCATAGTCGAAGCATCCTGGCGAGAGGCGCAGCATGCCCTCGATAGCCAGGAGGAACAAAATAGGTGAGACCGGTGATCCCTGTGGGAGGCCGCATTTTATGGCGAAGGGTGGAGTTTTTGTCCCGTCCAATGTGACTACGCCCTCGCGATTTTCCATGAATGATGCAACCCACTTGATAAGATTGTGGGGCCAGCCTTGAGTACGGAGATTATGGCAGAGACGTCTTCGCTGAATGCCATCAAATGCACCTTTAACATCTACTGTTACTATACCTGCAACCTTCTTCTCTAACCAGGCGGACTGGATGTCAGAGGCGAGGGCTGTGGTTAGATCCGTTGCTGACCGGTGAGGAACAGCGCTGCACTGGTTCTTTGCAAGGATATTTTGTGAGAGGGCAAGGAAAGAGAGACGTCGGGCCATCAGGCGTTCCAGCCCCTTCTGGAGGCACGACAGCAAAGCAATTGGTCGGTAAGACTTGGGAAGAGCTTTGTTTCGGTTGCCTGTCTTCGGGAGAATAATTATGCTAGCCTTTTTAAAGGCATTTGGGTGTAGTCCTTGCAGGTCGCACAGACGGAACAAATCGGTCACTCGGGGCCCTAAAACTGGCCACGCTTGTCTTAGCGCTTCTGCGGTTATCTCGTCTAGTCCGGGGGACGATGAGGAGACTACGCAGCACGATCTAAAGATTTCCTGGTTAGTTAGTGCAGGCCAGGGGAGGCTTCTTCTTGCAACAGTTGGAATTCCCATGACTATATCCTCATGCTCCATGTGCCTACTCAGTAGAGCCCCCTGAAGTAGTTGTGCCTTGGCCATGGGAGTGAAGACGAGTCCGTCTGGGCCATTGAGTGGAGGGGTATGAAAACAGGGTGTTTTCTTATGCCAGCTTGTAACCCTATACACTTCTGTGAGACAAGAGACCTGATCCACTTTTTCGCGCCACATTTCTCGCTTAGCTTTTTTCACCGCCTTGCCAAAGGCGCGGCGTTCAGCGATGGCCACTGATCCCGAGCGCTTGGCTTGGCAGAGTGCGTTGTGCGTGTTTGTACAGTCCCTGGTCCACCATCGATTTCGCGGTCCCTGTGTACGTTTTCTGGGACACGTAGCGTTGAGAGCACCTTGGAGAGCATCTACCAGGAAAGAAGCTTCTCTCTCTGGGTCTGGAGAGGGTGCGGCCACTAGTCTGTCGGAGATAATTTTACGGAAGGTGACCCAGTTGCAAGCAGAGTATCTGAGTTTTCCAGAGGTATCTCTTTCAGGTCCTGTGTCTGAAAGTTGAGTTAGTAGAGTTCTGTGGTCTGACCCGACTTCCAAGTCGTTTCGGATAGCACAAGATGCGTTGAGACTATGTCGTGCGAAGCAAAGATCGATAGTAGCGCCGGCATCATGAGTGGGGGCATAGTATACATTCAACAACGCTATTCCCCTTGCAGTTGTCCATTCGAGTAATGAGTCGCCTTCCGAATTTTCGTTATATGCTGTTGGGTCCCAGGCCGAGTGGTGGATATTGAAGTCACCAGCTAAAACGTCTGGGGTATCAGAAAGGTTGAGAAGAAGCTGAAGGCCATCCCCAGCGCCAACCGCGCCTACTGGAGCATTTTATATATTCCAGCAGTCAATGGTACGCTTTCCGCGTCGAGAGACGCAAATCCGGGGAAGGTCGCGTGAGTGAATACTGGGTTGGAAAGGTGAAAGGCCGCACCCCTTGCGAGTGTAGGTCATTACGCGAGGCCGGCTGGTCCAGATTGTAAGGGGAGAGAAAGAAATGTATTCTGGGTGATTTTTAGTTGATTTGCGCGAGAGATCAGTACTTATCCAGGGTTCTTGAATTAGTACTAGATCTGCTCCGCTTTTAGAGGCAAGTTCGAGGGCGGAGTCGTGTGCCGGGCTCCGCTTACCCACATTTACCTGGAATATGCACAAACCGTTGATTGATTGGGATTTGTACGTCCAGCCCCGAGTCATCATAATGATTCCTCTATGGTCATCAGGGCGGAGTATCGTGACTCTTGTCCAATTTGTGGAGGAGAGGGGGAGGCGATTCTTGTGGGTTGGGTAGGAACCTGATAGTTCCCGGAGCTCGCAGCGGCCTGGGGAGAGATTGGAGGGTGTAGTGCGGTCCAGGCCTTTAGGCTTTTAATTTTGGCATTGCTTTCGTGCATTGGCCGAAAGTCCTAGCCCGTCACACTATTCCACATACTCATGTAAACTAAGCTAGTCAGGTCACATGACCTGGCTATCAGTACATAGACTTCATCTGTAGCATAAGAGCTCTCTAGTCAACATTTACAACGTATTACCGTGTCCCACGTGTCTTTCTTAAGACTTGACTCCACTTTAATATGATGATGCTTCCGGATACATTCACAATTGCCCATATCTACTCTGGGCTAATCATCCCTTTCTATATTGATCCTATCTTCTAATTAATGTCTTTTCGCCCTTTTTATCTTAAATGACAGATTATGATATTCTTCGTCTTGCTGGCCATCGTCAAGCTCAGAGTTATGGACAGATTAAATCTTCAACACGACTTTTGGGAAAGAGATGAAAGGAGGTTATAAAGACAGAGTGTCAATTCTCCGAGGTACCCTCAAGTCTGCTGCGTCCAGCTGGCTGGCCTCTTCAAACGCTTCAGAAGAGTTAATATATCTTCGGGCTTAGTACTAATTTCGGTACTAGAAGAGCCCCGGACCTAGTGGATTTTGCGATTTTCCTGGCTGCCATACACCCGCAAATGGCCATCATTTCATTGGATGGAGAGTGGAGATAATGGAAAGCAAAAAGACCCTCTAAACGCATGATCGAATAAGGACTTGTGAGGGGTGATGCTGTTTGAGGGGAGTTATATTGGAGGCATCGGAGGGGGCTTACTACTGGCTTATGTATACTTAACCTGTAGGGTGAGAGGATCAGCATATGCTATGTAGTCTTAGACCTTGAAAGGATAATAACATCCTAACATTAATAAAAAATATCGAAGTTTACCGACATCAACAATCATATACTCCTTAAGAACGAAGCATAAGTAGTCAGCCAGATTCCATTACATGAAACACATATAAGACATTACTGTGGTAGAATATTACGCAGCAAACTTGACCTACTCAGGAACTGTCATTAAGTTAAACCTCATGTCTATTCCCATCAGTAATGAGAAATTCTGTTGATATACACATACTAAAGAAATTTCAGAAACGCTTGGCCTAAATTTGCTATGTGAATTTAATCTACGAGATCCACAGTAATGCAGATTTGCAAAGGGTATGATTCGTGCATACTGTCATCCTGTCGGAAATATCTCTGCATGACTTTTACTTCAAAGACGCAATTTTAATTATACTTTTTTGATAATGGCAAATTGAAATTGAAATCAATTTTGGGTACTCGTAATCTTTTTTCGATATGCTTGAGCCGAGGTCATGAAATTTCTTCACCCCTATTTCGCACAATACATCTATAATCCCTCGCACTGATGGGGTATATCCGTCGGATGCAGTCTTGAGATAAAAACCAGATATTATCGACGCCAAAGACCTAGACGAATGGTCATAAAGAAGTTGGGGGGAGGTTCTAAAGTGCACTCACAATATGGCTTGTGTGCTTGCAGTCATTTTGACCTCAGTAGCGCGCATGGTTATCATAAGCCCTCATTACTCGCCGCATCATTACGGAGTATACACAACTCCCAAGGCCAATGAGTTTCCAGTGCCCTCGAATTACCATCAAATACACATGTCCGCCAGCAAAATAGCTGGTCCCGGTACTTACGTTGTGGCATACTGTTCCATACAAATTTCCCAGCGTAAAATCGTGGAAATCATTACAGGAGGACTCCCCGGAATAACACAGAATCCCGGAAAACCTTCTTTCTCCAATCTTGAAGCAGAAAGTGCGTGCTTTACATCTATCAGAAGAGAAAATGCCCTTGAATCGGTCGCTGTTCCTTTGTCGAAGCTCGATAATGGCGAATGTACGCATAACATCATAGCAATTTTAGCCTTCAAAGGCGTCATTAGTATAGAGGGAGAGTTTTCCTGTTTTGCTCCGCCGCAGGAGGAACAACGTATAAAAGTAAACGCCGACATTCCATTTGACATGCAACAGTTTCTTGCAGGTAGTCTGCTACTAAGAGGAGAGGATGATGTATCGGATGAACGAGTATTAGTTTGGTTTCAAGAGAGCCTACATGTATTCAAACAAACTAAGCCTGGCGTCAACAGCTATAGCTTATGGAGTCCAATCATCTCAATAGGACGCGAGGTTAACAATGGAAAAGTAATAACAAACTTTATCTATGATAATCTGCCTAGTATTCAAGAGTTTACAAAAATTATGGGTGATTTTCATAATCTCCTGAAATATATGAAATTGTTTTATAGGCCCGAGCATTGGGAACTTTCTGAATCAAACTATAAAAAATTTTATCGTCGACCGAATTATGATTACCTTGATGATATATGTATGCTAAACCTCGGATTCGAACACACACGATGTGGGTGGATCAATAATCTACCTGGCTATCTTAAGAAACCCCATGATCTAGGTCTACTTTGTCGAACTAGGCGCTTGGATCGGACTGGATTCGTTAGGAAGAGAGAGTGCATATTTAGACCGGCCTTTATCCGATACAGTAAATTTCTATCAAATCAATGGAAAGACTCTGGAAGTAAAAATAAAATGCTACAAATCCCTCCCCAGTCTCTCAAATTAGAGAAAGCTGCGCGGCTGAAAGAAGTCAATGGAGATAATTTGTGTAGGACATGAGCATGGTCATATGGGAAGGCACGGAGGACATGCTATTGGTTCATTAACCTTACGTCGGAAAAGAGGAAATCTGATATACAACGGACTGAATCTACGTAATAATAATGAAATGATTCATCAGCTTTGCTGATTTTAAATACTTGGTATTAGAGAAAATATATCTTCATTTCGTATTACACTTTTGTAGCAATACTACTGCATCTCAGAATTAGTAGATTGTTTGCCTATTGAATAACTCCACTGGCGTGAGCGGCACTTATTATTCGACTGTCATTCACAACTGGTGTAATCACCCTTTTCTCCCATAGCCAAGTCAAATCTCTGTAGATAGTTTTAGAGATATGTTAAGAGAATCCGGCTTTTGGTAAAAACTGAACTCCTCCCATTAATGTAACTATTGCATGGTTTCTGCAGTTAGGTCAAGTCTTACATCAACCAGTTGTTGGGGGCTAGGTCCGCTTGGTTGTGGCTGGGCTGTTTAAGGCTATAGGGCTTATTCTTATCTTGTTGATGCAGGCGAGTTTGTATATCTACTCACACTACGGGAGTATTTTCAGATCACGTGTAGAGGGCCAGGGGATCTGGAACAGGCATTGTCGTTATAAAGAGCCGTAGTTTCCCGCTCTTCAATTCCTCATAGAAAATATAAACATCTAATAGTGGCATTGCTTTCGTGCATTGACGCTAAGTCCTAGCCCCTCACACCAGTATTCAATTAAAATCGTGTTGTGGTGACCAAAGTTGATCTTTTAGAACTCCCATATCAACAGACTGGGGTCCAATTACCTATTCTATTGTCAAACTTGTCTCAGTCCACTATGTAACTAGTTCATTTGTTTTTAGATTTGGTTCACCGATAAACTATTCTTCCATTACTCGATCTGCCGCTCAAATAGGGAGATGGAATGGATGAATGAATGTAACGGCTTGTGAGCCTTTTGTTGTGTGGCACGTGATTTGGACCACGTGACTATTTAAATCCACAGTAGTCTAGCTTTATTCCAGATCAGTTCAGCGCACGACGATAAATAATAATAAAAAAATAGATCAGTTCAGCCGTAACTGGAGTACTCTAGCAATTGGTAGCAAGACTGGGATCTACTATAAGTGGAACGTGTGAGAAGCTGATATCAGCCAAGAAAGAGTATTCTAGATATTTTCAAAAATATATAAGTAGTTGAAGTAATGCTTTGATTGTTAGCCATAGAGAAAATTATAAACTTCGTGTATCTGATTGCACCAGCATCGATACTCGAACTGTGACAATAAAAAATAGTTTATCCGTGACGGGCACAAGCCTTGCACTCATAGAGCATGACACGGAGAAGGCTAGTCCTTCCCCGACGACTATTGTTATTATTATTATTATTATTAATTCGTTTTATTATACTGTCTAAGTCTATGACTTTGTGGGACATGCAGGTCCTCTCTACCTACAGGCCAAGGATACCTATACCAGTAGTATATCCCCTCCTATGCCTCCCATACAGCTCCCCTCAAACAGTACCACCCCTCACAAGTACTCATTCAATCATACACTTAAAGGAGCCCTTTGCCCTTCCTCGTCTCCCCTCTCCAGCCAACGAAACGATGGTCATTTGCGGATGTACGGCAGCCGGGAAAGTATGCAAAAACTACTGGGTGCGGAGCTCTCCTAATACCGACATTAGGACTAAATCCGAAGACATAGTGATCCTTCTGATGCGTTCAAAGAGGCCGGCCAGCTGGGCGCTGCAGACTTGTGGATACCTCGGATAATTCACCCTCTGCCTTTCTAGCCTCCTTCCAACTCTGTCGGAATACTTCAAGTGGACGGGTTTAGTGACAAGCTTGTTGTAACAATATTGGTATCAATTAATTCCTGTCTAACTCCCTCCCTCCTAAGTAACAACTAATAATTACATTGGGGATCCAATTTCTTATTCCCAGCGCTATTCTATGTAAGGAAATGTTGCGAAAATAAGTCACGTGATATCATACAGAACTATAATCAGACAAACTCTTTCCCGGAGGTCGTGCTGAAACTTTAGACAAGTCTTGATAGAGCGTGTTTGCTGCATGGTAGCTTAGCCCAACTTCCTTTATACCGTCCAGGGCTATGGGGAGTGCCGTTGACTCATCGACAATAGAAGTCCTCCTGGCTAATTTACCGAAATCTCAGTCTTGGCGCCCGCAAATAATCCAAAGTTAAAAACTCGTCGAAAATATCAATCTCAGCATGGTCTCCAAAGACTTGTTCCCCCTCTCGCTCCACATCACAGCCTTCCGTTCTCCCTCAAGTTGTTTGTCCCATTAGAGCAACAGTCCCATATAAACTATAGCCAGAGCTTTACATATTGTGACTTAATTTCCTCCTTGCGGGTATAAATAGCGTCGTGAATTTGAAGTAAGTGATGGCCGGTAATGATAGAGACAAGCTCCTGTATGCAATTGGAGCAACTTCTTTATTGGTCGTCGAGGCGAGATGATGCGTGGTTAGCGAGAGGTTGAGGACTCAGATGAGAATGAGAATGACAAGAGAGGCATTGTCGAGAAGTCATCAAATGGAGATGTGCTTGAGGTTGCTTTCGACTTCGATTCGGATGCGATTCTTCTTGGCTATCCCAGATATGCAGAGCATACTGAGCGATTACACTGGCACCACTGGAAGGTGAAGAATTTGTCTTTACCGGCATGTTGGGGGATGGACTGTAGCTGTTCGTATGGTTTATGTGGTAGATCAATCCATGTTAATGCTACGCTAGTCTTGATTAAGATAAACGCTAGTGTACTCTAGTAGAATGAAACAGTCATAATCTCAGAAATAAGATAGGACGATAACATACAGCAAAACTAGTTGCTGCCAATGGAAATATACTCGAGAAATCTAAGATTTCAACACCTCGAAAGTTTGGGGATCCAATTCGTTCAAAAGGTCATCCAATCAACAGATTGAAAGACCAAACTGTTCAAGCGAGGGAGAAAAGATGTTTGATCACACAATGGGAGAATAGAACTAGTATGGAAGAAATAAAATGAGTCTGCAGAAAACGCTATTCCCTACACCGTAACCTCACAAGGACCCAAGACATTCTGGTGATGTAGCTTCGACGCGAGCATATTAGCATCAGATTGTTTATACGCAGAAGAAAATCATCAAGAGTATACAGCATAAGCTATCAAGTTGCCAGCTAATCCGGAACCCTTTGCACATGATCACGTTCTGCCATCCATGGTCGACTGGCAGAGGAAAGATCTGGAAATGAAGCCATGATTGGTCCCTTAAAGCCATGATAAATAATCCTAGTGATATTAAAAGGATTATTCAGTGGATCTCAGATTTTTGTTGGAATGAGCAACTTTGAATGAAAAAGGCGGTCCAAATTCCGCGGAGGGAAAGAGAGAGAGGTGTGTTTACTGTATTACTTGAGTCTATGACTATCTACCACATTGAGCTCCTCTCCAGCTCAGGCCACACCTTTAATGGTACTCCCATCCACTTTTTTTACTTGAAAGATCATTGATATGTTGCCTGTGATGAATAGCCATTCAGCTCTGTGTTTACCCGTGGAATTCGGCCACCTTTTCCACGGAACCTTCTACCTTAAAAAAAATTAAAATGGTAGCAATGGAAACTGCGTGCTTGGGAAAGAGTCTCAAAATACCTGCAGCCCCGGCCAGGCGATGCCTAGACACCGGGACCACATGAGGTGCTCATATTCATCTATACCTCCCTTCTTTGTAACAGTCGAGGCCGACTTGATCCAATCCACCATCTCTGTAACGGGTGCTGGGTACGCTCCGGAAACTCATCGGATGGCTCCTCCTCCACGATCAATGCTTGGTGAGGAAGAGAGCTTCCAACTCACGATTTGATCTGATTGTGTTTGACTTATGATAATGAGTGTAGAGAGTTTTGCTGAAAAATGAAGAAAATAAAGATGCCGAAAGCGATCGGGAATCCTCGTCGAAGTGAGAGCGGTGTTACTAAATGTCGCCTCAGCAGACTCTAAAGTGAGAGCTGGAGGTTCGTAAGGGACATTGCTGATAGGTGTTGGTGTTTTATTCCTGTCAGATTGGAGCGAAGGCCTTTGGACTGAGGTGGAATTGGAGTACTAGAAGAGGCTAGATGGACCGCGAAAGATGACTGAAGTTCTACTGGAGATGATTTCGAGGAAGTTAAGGTTTGAAATATGGGCAATGTAAATAGTTAGAAAGACTAAAGATTCGAGTGGGAACTAATGGTAACTGTGACAGAGCTTCATAAATATACGCGGGGGTAGTGGTGCTTATGAATTAACATGTATTTCGAGGGAAACTTAACTAACAAAAGGAGCCCAGTTGAGAAGAAAATAAAACTTATGTACAACTACTATCTGCGCGTACCGGCAAAGACAAATTAGTCACCTTCCAGTGGTGCCAGTGTAATCGCTCAGTATGCTCTGCATATCTGGGATAGCCAAGAAGAATCGCATCCGAATCGAAGTCGAAAGCAACCTCAAGCATATCTCCATTTGATGACTTCTCGACAATGCCTCTCTTGTCATTCTCATTCTCATCTGAGTCCTCAACCTCTCGCTAACCACGCATCATCTCGCCTCGACGACCAATAAAGAAGTTGCTCCAATTGCATACAGGAGCTTGTCTCTATCATTACCGGCCATCACTTACTTCAAATTCACGACGCTATTTATACCCGCAAGGAGGAAATTAAGTCACAATATGTAAAGCTCTGGCTATAGTTTATATGGGACTGTTGCTCTAATGGGACAAACAACTTGAGGGAGAACAGGAGGCTGTGATGTGGAGCGAGAGGGGGAACAAGTCTTTGGAGACCTTGCTGAGACTGATATTTTCGACGAGTTTTTAACTTTGGATTATTTGCGGGCGCCAAGACTGAGATTTCGGTAAATTAGCCAGGAGGACTTCTATTGTCGATGAGTCAACGGCACTCCCCATAGCCCTGGACGGTATAAAGGAAGTTGGGCTAAGCTACCATGCAGCAAACACGCTCTGTCAAGACTTTTCTGACATTTCAGCACGACCTTCGGGAAAGAGTCGGAAGGAGATTAGAAGTGTTAATTCTAAATTTCACGAGATACCCACAAGTCTGTAGCGCCCAGCAGGCTGGCCTCTTTGAACGCTTTGGGAGAGTCAATTTATCTTCGGATTTAGTATTAACGTCGCTATTAGAAGAGCCCCGGAATAGTGGATTTTGTTGGAAATCCTGACTCTCGATTTTAGAACTCAACCATTATCTGTTTCGTATCAGGTTCCCGACAAGATCGACCCCCTCTACACATGTCCCGATTACGCTAATCGCGCCTACTTTCGCATAAAAATTTGGATATTTGAGGTTTCTAGGCGCGCGTTGTGTACCTAGTAAATGGTGGGCGTGTGTGTGTAAGAATGAAATGTTATCACGTTATGTCTCGTGGCTCCTAAATACAATGGATCTTGTCAATAAATAGAACAAAAAATATTGGGCAGATACATGGAACAACAAAGATGGGAAAGATTATTTAGGGGAGTTTGATTACTTAGTGTTAATGTTAGATAAATTATCATAGCTAAATAGCTGAATACAAAATGATATTAAAAAAAAATAAAAATAAATAAAAAATAAAATAAAAATAGATCTTGTGTAGAGCTTGAGACTGATACGTGAATTCTATCTCTCCCTAAATGTAGGATATCTATGCGCCTATATACATCAATACTCTGTTACCCCCCAGCTCCAGTGAGATCTGCCCTGTGACTGTGCGATCTGATCGTGTGAGATCATAAGGCACTAGCATTTTGTCTATGTGCTGTACATCCAAAATCTGATCAGTCCGTGACAATGTAGATCTTTTCAGGATCCACGGATTCACGTACTACAGTGTACCTTGGCTCATCATGGTAGATAAGAGGTGACTGGTCATCACTAGGTTTGACAGGCACTTGAGACTAGTGGGAATTTCTCCCTTAGATGTATAAGTCTAATGTTCTCATAGTTGTAAAATATTAAGTCTTCTTTACTTCATCATATTTATCCATATAATATCGTACAGAGTATATTTTCCAACGTATTTTGCGATTTTCCTGGCTGCCATACACCTACACATGTTAATTGTTTCGCTGGCTGGAGAGGGGAGATAATAAATGGTTAAGGGCTCCTCATAGCATGTGAAAAAGACGAAGACTTCTGAGGGAAGCAATATAGGAGGCAAAGGATGGGATATACTACCCGAGCAAAAGATATCCCTGGCCTGTACGCAGAAAGACTAACATGTTCTTTTCAGCCGCAGGTTAAGAAAGGAAATTAATGTAATAGAAAATTTGAATGAACCAAGTCGTTACAACAGAGAAGGTGGAGTTAAAGATTGTTTTTGTCTACCCAGCAAATAATTCACGACTCATGATTACCAAGCATTTTTTATTTGTTTCTTCAATACGGATCTGATACAGCACCAGTTCTCTGAGAATAAGCTAGATGACTCTCGATTTGAGGGACATTTAAATTCTAGATTTCATTCGCAGAGACCAGGTAAATGACAATGTCATGGCGCATTAACAGCTTGGTTATCAAATCCATTTTTTCGAACTCCAACATTTCCTCTTCATGCAACCTCACCGCTATTGTCCTCAATGTCAAATTTTTATATCCTCCTAAGCTCAACATGGTTCAAACCCGAAACTCTCTTTACAAAGTCTACACAAATGAAGAAAAAATGCTTCATCTCTTCCCATCGAATCGTTCGCTCATGCCGCAGTCTTACACATAGTGCCTCTTCCATAAAGTTCCTTGAATCTTTCCGCATTATCTCTCAAATTAGACTGAGGTGGTACGACAAGCACCTTTTTGGCACTTTTAGCTGTTTGCCATTGGCCAGAGACGAAATTGACTTCCTCAAGTATAGCAGGTCTAAATATGCACTCTGTCCCTCGAGTTGACGGAGTTAAATTCCTGGATTTGGGTTGACAAAGTAGACCTTTATGAGCTAATTCATTATTGAGATAATCAGGCAAGTTCGCTATCCGTGCACACATTTCTTCATTCAATCCAAATTTCAATAGGCAAAAATCTTCCAAATAATCTTCAAAATTTGCGTGAATGAAACTGTCTACATTATTTTTGGCATCGATTAATAAATGAGGATAGTGATAAAATTCTAAATTTGATATGAGATTCTTAAAATCGCCCATGATTTTTGTGAACTCTTCAATACTAGGCAGGTTATCGTAGATAAAGTTTGTTATCATTTCGCCATTATAAATCTCGCTTCCTATTGAGGTAATTGGACTCCATGAGTGATAGCCATTGATGTCGGTCAAAGTTTGCTTTAATAAATGTAGATTGCCCTGAAACCACACTAATGCTTGTTTATCCGATGCGTTATCCTCTCCTCTTAGCAGTACACCACCGGAAAGGAACTGTTGCAGGTCAAATGGAATGTCGGCATTGACCTTGATAGGCTGATCCCTCTGCAGCGGAGCAAAACACGAAAACTCTCCCTCAATTCCAATGATCCCTTTGAAGGCTAGACTTGCCACGAGCTTGTGCGTACATTTGCCATTATTGAGCGTCGATAGATGAACGGCGGTCGATTCAAGAGTAAATCCTCTGCTGATAGACCTGAAGCACGCGCTTTCTGCTTCAAGGGAGCGAAAGGCAACTTCTCCGGGATTCTGCGTTATTTCAGGGCGTCCTCCTGTAATGATCTCTATGATTCTGTTCCGTTGGTGTTCGATAGAACAATATGCCACGACGTAAGTACCTGGACCGGCTATTTTGCTGGCGGACATGTGTATTCGATGGTGATTCCGGGGTACCGGAAACTCATTGGTCTTGGGAGTTACATATACTCCATAATAAGAATTCGAGGGTTCAGAGCTGGTAATAACCAAGCGTGCTACTGAGGTCAAAAGTACGGCAATTACACAACTCATTGTATGTGCCTTTTTGGAATAATCTCAACAATAACAAGTTCATTAGTCTATATCTCTAGCATTGGTAATATGTAGGTACACTTTCGGTGTGGCTATGTTCCAAAATTAAGCACCGAGATGTCCCGTCATGTAAAATTCGACACGGTGATTGTCGTCAATGAGAAATGAAAGACTTTCAATAAGGTTTCTTATCCAAAGGATTCGGGCACTAAAAACAACTCACTACATGGTTTGGTCGTCAGTGAGATGAGATTTTGGGGGCAATAATTTCGAATGCCAACTTATGCTAAGAAAACGCGTCAAAGTGACAGGGTTCATGAATCATGAATATTCCAAATGCAATAGATTTGAGCTTGGGATGTTCAATGTCATCTCATTCAGGTATCCTATGGGGTTTGTTTGTTTATTCCATTTACACGCTGTCTAAGTTATCCTATGGGTCCATGCAGGTAAATATAGCTATAGAACTAACGGAGGGGCTAGCCAATTTCTTAAAAATCCCCTAATCCCATCAGTGCCACGTTTACTGCTTTCCTAATCTTTCCTCTACAAAGTGTGTTAACACTATTATTCAGTGTGAATCACGTCGTATCATTTTTCGATTCGCTTTTGTTACGAGCTTACAGCCTTGTTTTTTATTATTCTTATTATGTTAAAGCCTTAAGCTAAAACTCAAGGTCCACTATAGGTACATGACTGGTGGAGCCGGTGGAGATCACTGCTTACAGGCCTAACTCATTACAACCGCTGGACTCGCTACAGAAATAGTAGGAAGTAAATTACGACGCAGGCACCACCTACTACAACTCCTAGATCAAAAATCACTCCTTTTCCCCCTAGATCCAAATAGCTACAATCTTTCCTCAGAGAATCGATACTTCTCGCCCCGTTCCCTTTTGTGTCATGCATTGTGGCAATGACTAGTTTGTCTGATCCTGTTGTGCTGCTGATGGCTAGGATTACGATGCACAAGGGTAATGATCACTGAGGTTGAAGGAAGAACTTTCCAGGTGGCTCCATGATGAGTAGAGGAACAATGGAGCACTGTATAGAAAGTGTTTCTAGATTGTACTGCCAGATGGAGGAGACTAGAATATTCCGCGATACTATTTTGGGTAAATAAGGCGAGAGTCTAGCTACCTCAGATGTGTATATGATTAGCTCTTTCTACCTTCTAAATCCTCATAGCTCTGAGTATCAAATTTATCAGCAGTTCACATTGATTCATCGATAATCATCCGTAAACCTTCTGCCAATTAACCTCCGTAAGCTTTTACCTTTACAACAGATCCCCGCTGAGAGCAATGGATGAGTGAGTAGGTCGTCTATCAAAACAGCCGGTTTCCTGCGCAAAGTTTTTGAAGCTTTCGTGGCATTTGGGTCCGAGAAGCTTTTTGATAAAGTCAACATGGGACATAGACTTTCTGAGCCTACGCATGTGTTGTGCGTGGTAGCCACAGTAGATGAAATGGGTTGGAGTAGAACCCTTCCCGCAAGAGCACTCCGTAGGGGCGTATGGGTTGTTGAAACGGCGATGGTTGGCCGCAAAATTGCCGTGACCCATTCGTGCTGCAACTAGTGCCCAGAGGAGATGCCTAGACAGCGACAGCTCGGGTGATTTACGGCGCCGCACAAGTAAGTGAAGCTGGTAGTATTTTTGCGGACAAGCCTCTACCCACCAGTCTTCCGGTAATCTTTGTCGTCAGTGATTCATGAGACCACGAAGATCTGCCAGAGTACATGATCCTGGTGGTGTATCCTGGCTAGGTAGCTCTCGTATGGCGGCAAGGGCAATATTTTCTGCCTCTTCGTTTCCTTGTATCCCTGCGTACCCTGGCACCCATTTTACCAATACTTTTGCCACGTTTTTTTATGCACGAGAGCTGCGTACATCTTCAAGGCTAGTTGAGGAAGAGCCCGTCATTAATACGCTTACAGCCTGCTGGCTGTCTAGAAACACGTGGATTTACTGCGACCCTCCTACGATCCTTGACTTATCATTCTCCAAGAACTCCAGTGCGGTCTCCAGAGCCTTCCTTGCTTCTATTATCTCTGCATTCAGCTGTTAACATTTCTACCTTGATATCGACCCGTAGAAATATACCGTATAATAGTAACTCATATTGATACTCAGGATTGCGATGGATAGCAGAGATTGATGGTGTTTATGGCAGTGCGGGGGTTGGTAATTGGTGACAGGGATAGGACACGTGTATATATATATCGCGCACTTGACTCCTCTTTAATATGATGATGCTTCCGACTACATTCACAATGCCCATACCTACTCTGGGCTAATCACCCCTTACTATATTGATCCTATCTTCTAATTAATGTCTTTTCGCCCTTTTTATCTTAAATGACAGATTATTATATTCTTCGTCTTGCTGGCCATCGTCAAGCTCAGAGTTATGGACAGATAAAATCTTTAACACCAGCACCTCTCCCCCGTGCAAGATGCCACTTCCTTTGCCGATAGATTTTCCATTCTTCTTCAGAACAAAACCCCATGCGGAGCATCCGTGTCCTTTCATTGAGCCATCTGAGTATGTGCAAATTCCCACTGCTGGCACGTTATTGGTCCATTTAACGCAATCATCGCGTTCCATCTGCTTTGGGCCTGACATTTTAGGGTAGACTACCGGCGCCAGGACCTCAGGGGCCTCTGCTTCCGGGAGCTCTCGATAGGCCCGCTATAACTGTGACATCTGTATTTCTGGTCTGGTAGAGGTTTTGGCGATCTTTTTGTATTTTTGAGTGCCGAAATTCGGGCACACGGAAGCACGGATCCTCAAATGGCGTCGACCATCGAGGGTCTTAAGCCTTGCCGAAATTCGGAGTAAGTTTCCCTCTAGTATGACCTTTGCCGGCAGGATTCCTCCTTCTCTATGGAAGACTATATTTAGTGTTGTCCTCATTGCTAGAAGTTCAGCCCGTAGTCCCATCTGGTTCGCTCTGTCAATCATGCTGCAAAGATTGGACGTAGATGAGGAGACTACTCCTCGTAAAGTTGGGCGTTTGGACCCTGGCCATCAGACATTAGATCCAAAAGTTACGAGCGAAACAATGCACATTTCTTCTGCCTTAGCCAATGGCCTAGGAGCTGCTCCCCGGAAGGCAGAGTTATAGCGGCGCATGCGCTGGGCAACTTTTACCGCTTTACCGCACCACGTAATTACATGGTGTTTGAAATTGAGTCGTGAATCCAGATTCACGCCTAATCAGCGAATATTTTCCGCAGGCTCCTAAGGGTTCCTTTTGTCACGGTTTCATAACAAAATGCATGGGCAATCTTGTAGGTACAGTATATTAATTATAATTCTCTAGAGAGAGAATTCTAACAGCTAGTGACTACAAATATATATAATCCAGAATACTCCTCCTTCCATAGGATTCCCTCCATGACCAGAATTGTTTGGATTCTTCGACAACTTCCAAGAAGATTCTGGATTACACCATTGATCTCATTGCCTGCGCTAGCTAGCGTAGGCTACAGGGATAATTAGGCTTAACAGCCGTTACAATCCCCCTTCTCTTCCTCAATGAGTAAATATTTTATTTAATTTTCTTATTTAATGCTTTTTTTTTCGTCGTTCCCTCCGCGTTTTCTGGACATGAGGCTCGGCCTGGCCAACGTATCTACCTGAGTATATTTCCGAAGGGCCATCATTTGAAGTTATGGGACCATAGGTCTCCTCAAATATTTTTAAAGCTTCGGTGTCTGCCACGTATTCAATGGGCTCCCAAGTTGGTTCTGCCCAGCCAGTCCACTTAACTAGGGCTTGCCTGAAACTACCACGGCCACGTCTCACTGTTCTCGCTCGTATTATTGAGTCCACTCCAAATTCTTGCTCGCCCAGATCGTCAAGGATAGCGGGATTTTGTGCATCGTCCCGCCGCTGACTCGGAAAGGGATCCGCACCCGCCCGCTTCACCAATTCGACATGAAAGCGGTTGTGGATGTTTCCAGGAACGTTCAACTCCACAGTCAAAGGATCTGGGACCGCGGTCACATCGTACTTTGCATGTATCCAGGCTAGCTTCTTGGAGAGCTGTGGTGTTTTCACGTTTCGGAGATCCAACCAAACCTTGTCGCCAACTTTATACTGATCTGGTTGTCTTCGGAAGCGATTTGCATTACCCTCGTTTCGTTGTTGAGCTGAAGCCATTGCTGCCTGTGCATAGTCTTGCGCGTCCTTTAACCTTTTAACATAATCCTGAGCAGATAGTCGTCCCGGGTGTCGGGAACCATTCTCTAAGATAGGCGTAGGCTCTGCCAGAGGGTCCAAATCGTATCCGTGCCGTAAGAAGAATGGGCTTAGTCCTCCAATCGCTGAACTTGGTCTTGAATTTAGTGCCAGTTGGGCTACAGGCAACAGTTCCATCCAATTATCTTGTGAGTAGCAGGTAAACGCTCGCAGGTACTTGTACAATTCCTGATTTGCTCTTTCACTTGCGTTTGACTGAGGATGGTACGCCGTGGTCAAGCGTTGAGTTATTCCTGTTAGCTTGCAGAAGGTTTGCCAAAAGGTTCCCATCCAGTCACTGCCTCTATCACTTGTCAAATAACGTGGAAAGCCAAAGTAACGATAATATCGGTCGACAAAAACTTTAGCGCTTGGTGCAGCCTCCATTGTCTTTGTACCAAATAGAAAAACGTCTTTAGATAGCCGATCTGTTATAACCATTATATTTGTACAATCTTGAGAAGGTGGCATATCAGTAATAAAATCAATTGTCAGCTCGCTTCCTATTCGGTCAGGAATTGGCAGTGATCGAAGAAACCCAGCCTTCGCCTCTCGCCATACTGTCGTACGACCACAGACATCACAATTCCGTATAAAACGACGGACCGATTCCCTCATCTTTGGCCAGAACCATCGCCTTAAAAGTATGCCAATCATTGTATCTTTGCCCGGGTGACCTGCTAGGTAGCTATCGTGTGTCCGCTGCATTATCGCCGTTCGGAGTGGCTCATAATCGGGAACCCAAATTCGATT